TCGAGAAGAGAAACGTCTTCTGGAAGTAATGCAGTCTCAATTTCTATGGTTTTTGACACATCGCATTCAAATTTGCGTCCTCCACATTGCTGAGAACGTTTGATCCATGCTTGAGCTTCTACAGCTTTCTTCTTAGTTATGAGAAAACCAAAGCTTTCCGGTAGCACTCTAAAAGGAAGAAAGTTTCACCTATTCATGTGAACGTCAGAACAACAGTGTGAATAACTCTTAACCTTCCTTTCGGTTTCTAACTATTTGGTTAGAATTATCTCTTCCGGTTTTTTACAAGCCAGCTTATACGTGCAGAATTCGTGACACACTTTCAGAAAAAACAATTTCAAAAATACCAGAGTACAAGGAGGAGCTTCTCAAACATAAGGTTGTCAAACTCACAAAAGCAATAGAATTCCGAATAGCAATGTCGGCAACGACGTAAGAAGCTGTAAAGTTCTCCAAGAAGAAAATGCTCGAGCAATTGGTGTAACTACACAATACCCTGGAATGCTCATAATTGCTCTAATAATGCGGGAATCTAGCAAAACTACCTCCTACCCAGAAGACACCAAAGACGACGGAAGCATAGGAATGACCTTTGAATGCTATGGATTCACAGCATAATACCCAATTGATCATGGTGATGGACTGGAAATACAGATATAAGAAAACGGACAACTGGCACAAACTACATAGAAATAAAATTTACTAACATTGAAAAATGATCCTTGAATAAATCGTCCAACTAACATGAGAGCGAATGATGGTGCCAGAGCAGATCCTACTCCAGCAAGACCACTTACAATAAGACTCCAAACAAGCACGGGTCGTCGACCGATTCTAAAAAATAATTGAATTGTTTCATTTTGAATCTCAGCCAAGACTTTGAGAAAGATTTGCACCTGTCAGCCGCCATACAGTATGCTTGTCCCAAGACGAAGTTACCAAGAAAGTAGATGGAAGATGTCAACTCAGCAGGATCAATTACAGATCGTTGAAGATCGAACTAAAAAGGACTCAATGGACAATAAGATTGCAAAGATTCTACAATGTGCCCACTTCGCTTTGTACAGATATATAAGTTGAATTTTTGAGCAGCTCTGTTGAAGGAGCCAAGTACGCTGGTGACATTGTGGGCATTGCGGAGAGAAACCAAAGAAAACCCATAGAAAGCATTATAGAAAGCGAGTGGAAGTTTAGCCTGAAACATTTAGTTAAGGTGATTGAAGTTGAGAAGAAAATTAAGCACGAACAGTCCCAGTTCTTTGAGAATATCATCACTGCAGAGAGCATGAAGTTTCGGTTTAATTGTTTGCCCCTCTACGATTGGGATAATCTGAAAGTAACTGGAAGCTAGGAAATTGGAAGAACCCTTTTTCGAATCTTCTATACCTTTTCGTTCATATCGGAATCGTCTGCGTTCAGTAGTGCACCCTCCTCTTCCACTCGCCTGAAACTATTCACTAGAATGTGAGAGATACATAGGGGCACAATGTAAGCTTCGATTCTGCCGTACTCATTTGATAGTTAAGAAACGATTGAGCTATGTTCCACCGCATTGACTTTATTCTTACAAACTCTGAGACAAATTTTCTTTCCGCCATTCTGCTTCATTCTATTAGGCCGCACATAAGTCTTGTAACCTCTAAATCCGGGAATTCATATTCGGCTTGTGTGGGGAAAAGATGAAGAGCTATCCAATTGCATTTTTTTTTCGTCTTCATGAATATGAAGAATAGATAGACAGATAATTTCTTCAAAAATAGTAGATTGGCCAAGCTTGACAACTTAGAACAACTTAGACTTAGGCGTTTTTATTGACTCGAAATTAGTTTTCTCCGAACATATTGATTTTGTTGTAAAAAA